TTCAGCAACAATGCAAATTAACCCAGATGGAAGATGATGTTTAACCTCCCGGCATAAAGTTACACAACACCAAGAAAACATGCGAACTCGATAGAAAGGACAGAAGCTAACAACAAGGGATCGGATCCATGTAACTAGTTTTGTCAGCAACTCAATCGTCAACTGTGAGATTTCCAGAAATGCATCAAAGCACGAAAATTTATCAAAAACCCATGAAGATAGAGGAGAATTTGAAATACCCAGAACAGAAAAAGGCGAGAATCCAGAATTAGATGGAAGTAATCGCCATTATTTCCCTGTTTTTTTCTTCTTCTTCTTCCCGTCCTGGGTTTTCTTCTCAGCTTGAAAAACTCCAGACTAGAATGGAACCATAACACCAAACTCAGGCATCACGAGGTGTATATACACAATATATATAAACACGCATATATCCGTGTACCGGTGTACAAGCGTGTTGGCGCACACAGGCAAATTAGCTAATTGGATTTTAACATTTATTATTAATGATAATCAGGGCTCTTGGGAAGGTAGACAGTAGAATAGATACATAATCACATGTTAATTAATGAAAATTTAGGTGGTCTAAGTACAGAGGCTATTTATTTCGTAATTCCCAAGGGAAGAAGTAAAAATAAAACAAAAACGAAATTAAAAAAAAAAAAACAAAAACAAAACAAAACCATGGATTGCAATAAGCCTGCTGTATTGAAAAAACCGGAAAACCGGTTTCAGTGTTTTTTTTTCCGCTGCCACGATAGCTTTTCCCAATTTCAATTTTCACATTTTAATAATATTTTTTTTGGGGTAAAGCACATTTTAATAATATTGTTACTGATTAACTTTTCGTATAATTTTATAATAAGCAGTGATTATTAATTAACCATTCAAGAAAATTGATGCTTCGTTCTAAAGCATCTCAAACACCAAGTAAAAAGTAAAGAATCAAATTCAAAATTAAAAAAAAAAAAAGAGAAAATAGTAGAAAAAAACTTGTACTTGTTTATTCCTAACACAGTTATACTTGTTCGTCAAAATATAGATATATTTTATAAATTCTAACAAATAAACTCCTAAATACAAATATAAAAAGATGATAAAAAATCTGTAGGAACCTAATTCAACCGATATATATGTGAACCGAATCGAACCGATTAAAATAATATATCAGATTAGATATAAATATTTTAAATCCGAAATAACTAAGTATAGCATATAATAAATAAAATGAAGTATGTATTATTGATTTATATCCATCAGTTTGGTTCGGTTATTTTAGTTTAATCAACTCGTGAGAACAACGTTTCCGAGGAACCCTTTTACGAGCACCTCCGGATTCGTCCTGTTCTTGTGCAGAGGGGCTAGACCTTGAGCTTCGATGATTTATCGCTCTTAAGTGCCAGAGCCTCGGAGAAAGATATACCTTAGATCGAGTGTTCGCCACGTTTTCTCCGGGATTGTTGCGGAATCCGAATGTCAAGCTTCAGGGAAAACCTCTCCGCCGGCCTGAGTTCCTGTCCAGACGGACAACATAATCTCTCCGTGGATCTTGTTCCCGTCTCCGTCTTCCAATCTGTACCGCTTTGGAGGCAGGGGACTGTCAGGTGGAACACGAGTTGGAACCTGTGCAGTATCGAACTTACACTCCCCGAGAATCTCATCGTTCTGTCGGACAATCACTTCCACGATATCGCCCTGAAGACGGTCGCTGGTGAAGGCAAAGGCTTCGAGAAACTCAGGGCTTGGGCTGTGGTTCGTGCTCTGTTTCGTTCTTCCTTTGTAGCTACCGATGGCGACTTCGACGAATGTGTGGCAAGTGGGTAAGCCACGGGCTCGGACGATGCGTACGTAGAGGAAGTGCAGTCTCATGTTTATAACATAAATTTTAATTAAATTATTCATTTATGTACAAATTCCGACAGAGCACCAAAAAATCACAACACAACAGAGACTACAAAAAAAACATAAGATTTGGTTTCTGTTCAGATTTTCATAGATCTCCTTACATTAGAACATCTGAGACTCCAGAAACGCCAAGATTGCCAAACCGGCTGCTCCAACATCGTCATCCAACACATGTTCCGCTGGAGAATGACTTACGCCTCCTCGGCACCTGACGAAGAGCATGCCCACCTGTCCCGGAAAACACGCAGTATCAGGCTATATAAGCATCATACAGAGTCTGCAATTCTAACTTCTAACCATACAAAACTAACACTGTCGATTGCAGTTCTTCTGTCCATATTTCTATCCAGACTCACTGGTTGTTTTTCATTTTCACAGGTCCTGTCTCTCGAGGAAAAAAGACACTTGGCCTAATGTCCACATTGCGAATTCATATTTTGCTCATGACATATTTCTCTGTCTGATGATGAACAACTAAATTGTGGTTTTAGATATGAAGTTAAGCAAATCTCAGAGCTAAGATCTTAAACCCGACGTTGAGTGTGAGGAGAATAGAGAGGAAGGAATCTCATAATACCTTGGTCAAATGAGACATAGCCATTGCATCATGTCCGGCGCCGCTCATTAGAACGGGGACTTCATCTTGGTTCTCCCCCGTCATTCTCTTCAGAGCAGTCTGAGCTGCTGATTTCAGCTGCAAAGTCAGCTCTGGGTCTGAGATTACTGCATTGGCGTCATGCTGTAATAATAAAAGTGGAAGAACTTAGACAAAACATAAGAGGAAATTGCAGAAGAACAATAAGAATTTAACCCTCTTACCTTGCGCTCAATGGAGCATAAAAGAGACCGTTTGTCGCATATCTGGTACATCCTCGTTGATAAGTCGTGGAGAATAGCCTCACGTCCTACGTCATCTATGGTACGTAAATCCACAGTGAACGTTACCTGATTTCATAGAATTCATCTTTACCAAGGTCATTTCAACGTTTAGGAATAATGAAAAGACGACAGCAGAAAGAGATTATTTTATTACCTGGCCTGGGATGACATTACTAGCACTCGGCCATGCCGAGATTTCTCCAACTGTGCAGACAAGGGAACTAGCAAGAGATTCTATCATGTCCCCGTTGCATATACCGCCGTCACAAGATAAATGATCTTTAGGGTTTTTGCAAACACTTTCCAGAAGTACAATCAGTTCGGCTGCACCGGCCAAAGGGTCTTTGCGCATTGACATTGGAACTGTTCCAGCATGTCCCTGAGAACCTTTTACAGTCACCTGCAGAATTCTGTCCCATTAAGTTTCGTATAGTCTTCTTCCATATTAACATATATCCGGGTTTTCAGAATTGTACCTTCAGTCTCGTCTGACCTGCAATGCCTTTCACCACCCCTAGAGGATAACCGACCCATTCTAGAACAGGTCCTTGCTCAATGTGAACCTGCAGAAGCAAGCATATTCATCATTACCAATCACCGAGGAGAGACGAAAAAAATGTGCTGATATTAGCAAGACAAAAGGAGATGAAGAAGCAGGAATTACCTCTACGTAGCCCCAAATAGATGCAGGATCGTACTTCAGCTGCAAAAGATTTTCCTCTGTTATGTCTATTGAGCTCTCTTTAAGAGCATCTTGCACAGTGACACCACTGAGCGAATGAATATGGAAACGTGACGTGAGTACATATACTCAAATCAACAAAGGAGGAAGAAACTGAGGTCATGAGTATTAACCTTTTGTCAGCAATCTCCAAGCGAGAGACTGGCATGATACCAGCCAAAGCAGCACTGCCCAGGAAAGTAGACTGAAACCTCACTCCCTCCTCATCACTAAACGCAATCACCTGTGAAGTTCATTTTATGAATATAAACTTGGGATTACGACGATGTTGATGTTGATGATATACCAAGTCTTACTTTCATGCACTATGTGACTCAACATACCTCGACAGGCCGTTTTAATTCTCTCAGCTTGCCATTGACATTCAGCGCCTTTAGAGCAGATATTGCAGATATTATCCCTAACGAGCCATCGTATTTACCAGCATCAACAACTGTGTCCTGTTTAAACAAGTAGACATCAACTGTCAGCATTACCCCGAATTATGTAAGTGGTAGAAATAAAGATGGCAGATAGTACAGTAAATTACCATATGGGAACCAATTAACAGAGCCTGTGTGCTTCCATTCTTTGGATCCACTCGACCATGTACATTTCCCATGACGTCAACCCACCTAGAATCCAATTTCTTTTTTCATTTTAGACAACAAGTTTCAGAGATTTGTTTGTAACAGACAAACGCTAGATCTAAAACTAACGTTGATAAACCAGCATCATCCATCCATCCTTTGATAAGATTTCTTGCCCTCATGGAAGCTGGACTCATGAAAGTCCTTTCCAGGTGACCATCCGCATCACTCACCTGCATTAATCAAAGAAGTGAATCATAACCTTAATCACAGGAGTTAATCATGAAATGATATGATGAACTTGCAAAGGCAAAACTGAACCATATTCAAGATTAGCCAATAAAACCAGACCTGGAGCTCACAAACAACTCGGCAGAGCAATGAGACCTACAGCTCTTGGAAGAAACTAACGTAGATTTCACGACTCAGACAGAAAAGTTGGCAAATGACGTCATAGAAGAGATGACAGGAACCAAACACGGTTTTTATCCTGAATTTGACAAGATTACAGATGAACCAAGGAGACATTGCATAAAGTGAAAGAATCAGATTGCATAAATGACGCCAGAGAGTCAAAAAGAATGGTTTGTCTGAAATAAAGAATCTACATTCTAATGGAAGTCGCCCAAAGTGTTCAGGATGCGATTTAAACGCAACTTCAGACAAACATTGAATTTCAAGTACACATCTAAAGAGACAGATCAAAAGTTGAAACAAAGTCAATGTTAGCCAAAAAAAAAACATTCACCAAATTTGTATCTTAACTGGGTTGACGAGCACACAGTCAATAGAAAGCTACTGACATAAGGAAAAGCTAGCGATGGAATCCTCGAGATAATATCGTTAGATATAAATTGTAATCGTTCTAAATAACGAAGCAAAGAGCTGCGATGATGAATGCGATACCTTCCCGAGCTCGTGTAACCTGGCGACGGCTTCATCTCTTAGGAGTTGTTGGTGCAGATCCTGCCTCGTTCCTTCTGAATCGCCAATTCCTGAACATTTAATGAAGGATATTCAAAATGGTCAGCAATTATGGAATCCACATGAAAAACGCCGACTTGTCGCCAAGAACAGCAGCACACAGCGGATTAGCGGATAAATTTGTTTTAATATCGGCGAAAAATTGGCGTCATCTGAAAATGATTGAAAAGCCCAGGAGATAAATCGCGAAGCTAAAAGCGATTGCTCAATTTTAAAATATTAAAACCAAATAGAAATCCAATTAAGAACTCAGGAATGATTCCGGAATCAATTAAGAACTCAAGGTACCGAGTAGAAATCAATCCGAGGATATATATATATATATATAGAGAGAGAGAGAGAGAGGGAGTTACCAAGAGAGATTTGGGAAGAAGAAGAGACTGAATACGACAAAGCGAGAGGCGGGAACAGAGAAACCATGAGGCACCAGAAGAGAACGAACGAAGTGTGATGATGATGATGATGATGATGCCGATGAAGGTGATGCCAATGATGAGAGACGGTGTGGATGAAGGGATGAGATCTGGGAGGAGGAGGAAGAGGAGGAACCGTCGCCATGGCTGCGGCTAGAGGAAGCTTTGCGACAAAAACGAAACGGAATGTCACGAGAGAGAGAGAGAAGAGAAGGCAAAGTTCGCAAGCTGAGAACGCAGCCACGGAAACGGAACCAACGCCACTCGCTCACCCACATCCTTAGGCCCCCTCCTTTTTATATATGCTGAGGTCGAGGTGGCTGGTTAAGCTGACGTGGCACCATCGGTTGGAATCTTGCGGAGACGGTCGCATGTGGTGCCGGATTCATTTTGTGTTGTGGGATCTTTATTACATTATTTGATTTATATTCCAATTATGGAAATTGGAATCTTATTCCAATTGCTATTACGACCGTATTTTGTTATGAAAATATTATTATTGAATTTTTACCTGTACGGTTATTTATTATTGCAGTTTCTGTGATTACGAGTCTTCCTTTATGGTTTCAAGATAATTTTTCTTGCCACTTTGTCTTGTTGTATTTCCTCTGGCATCTTTATTCCAAATCTATTTGATGCAAACAAACATTTTGAGATCTAGTTTTGGCATTTTGTATCGAAAACCATTTTACTTGACCGACTCTAATATCCTCTGCTATAATACTCTTTTAAGAGCATCACTAATTCACTATGTAATTTTTTTTCCTCGGAGATTGACGAATATTCACGTCCACAAATATATTTTGTACAATCATAAAAGGTATTTACAGTTTACGGAAGAAAAAAAAAACACCATACAAGGACAAAAAAAATGGCGTGGACATATCACCGGTGGTGCCGCCATCGCTAACGTGCGCTAATGGATCGTGAAGCGTGTAGCACAAAGTAGGGTCCACTTCAGGAAGATTCTGGTCACTGGCCACTGTCCCACGTGATCTGCTCACGTGACTTCCCAAATCTATGCCGGAATAGATATTAGATTATATAAAGATTTCAAGATATGGAAAGGCAACCCATTTGTTGTGTTTTAGACAACGTGGTGGGAATGAAATGATGGAAAATATATGAAAAAAAAAGAGAAGAATATGGAATATAAATGTATATCAATTTAATTATTCGCATTTGTTAAATTATAGCAACATAAGGGAAAATGAGATATTGTACATCAATTTATTTAACTTTAAAAAGTTGATTTTTATACATTTTATAAAATTTCAAATAAAATTGATGAATATTTGTAATAAAATTAAATCTGTCTTTACGTATACATTTATTATTAAATCTGTCTTTAAGTGGACCAACACCTGAATCAACTTCAATTAAATGAGAATCTGTAGAAGAAATCAAACATCAATCATACACAAATATCTTCCATATTCGACGCCAATAAAATCAGATTGTATCTTAATTTATTTATTGGATATTCTAAGCAATTTTGATTTTTTTCCTCAACCATTAGCATCTGATTTTTTCCCTTGTTGTATTTGTATCATTTAAATCATTCATACAATATTATTATTCCTTTGCCTTGTCTGTTTCTGTATAGAATATGTATAGAATTCTCCATGCATTACACACATAAAATATAAAATACTTGGGAAAACTTTTTTTTTCTTCACTAACATCTCAACTTGTTTTTTTTTATCAAATTCATTTATCAAAACATAGATTTATACGATCTTGAGACAATCTCTCCGTATCAAATGTCTTGCCGATGACCAGAATTTAAACATCACCATCTTAGAGGTGATATAACATAATCTCTTCTTTCATTTTCGTATTTATCTTCATTTTTGGTCATATAATTTTCTATTTTAATATTCATTACGATTATCATATTCGTCGTTTCATATTACATCCCATGTTGTGAAAAAAAAATTAACACATCATGTTATAAAACTTAATTTGATATTCGGATATTGAAATATATATATATATATATATATATCCGAGTGTAATTGGGTAACACTCATTCTCAGATCTGACACAATCTATCAATAAGAATCTATTTGGGATAAATCTTACGATTACGATTCATAATGGAGATATATATGGTTTTTGGAATTAATAAAGTCCATTTGACATCAATTAAAACCAAATGATCTTTCGTATTAACGGCATCAATGATCTTTCATATTAGTATTGTTAATTAACACAAAGATGGATCGATTTCCGAGGAAGTAAACGTTACAAATGATTTCGGTTTATTTTCGTATTAATTAATTTATTGTTACAATATATATCCGTCAACTTAAATAGGTTGATTCCAAGAGGTAATTGCATGGGTCTGCGCCTCAATGTTTTGTATTGCTATGAGAAGAAAGGGCCAATTTTTTTCACAATTCTGGTATTTACCATTTTACGTATTATGCAGTGTTTATTGAAATTCAGTACGTATTCCTTTTATTTTTATTTTTTTATATAAACTTCATTCTTACGCATTATCAATTTCGTAGGATTCTCCGTATCCATTGATTTGTTGAATTTTCTAAACTTTTTTTGGACAATTTCATATATATATATATATATATATATATATATATATGTATGTATGACATTTTTTGCGTTGTTTTTAAGGCCTTAAATATAAGGATCCAACCCATCCAAATTCTGATACGTCAGAGGTTTAGAGATTCAATCGGAGGAAGATCACAACAGCGCAAATTAAAGGTAACTTTCTGATACGGTTTCTTAATAAATATATACTTTTTTTTAAATTTAATTCTGCAGCGCACCAAAAAAAACTCAACTTTAATATGGGGTCATTTAATATAATTTTTTTTTAAAATTTTATAAAGGAATTAAAATGTTTTAGTTAAATAAATGGGGACATGCGATATCCCCCCATTCATTTTGTAAACGCTTGCTTGAGTTAGTATCTAAGGTTTTCTAATTGGAATTATACATATATGCTTTTATCATATAGTTACATAACATTGATTGATTACAAAGTAAATTGAGGATACGAAGAAATCTTGAATATGAAGAAATTCGGAAAGGGAACAAACACTCAACCAAATACCTATCCACCACTCCAACCAAAACCCCATGACTTGGCCTTCTCCTTTTTCATATATTTCCCACATTCACATCACGCATGAATCCTATGCCTTTTACACTTTCTACGAAACACAGCTTCGTAAATTGATTTAATCATATATATTATATAAAAATTGGTTTTCATAATACGGTCCGATTCTTATATATGCCGAGTCTAAAACATTTTTTTTAATTTATTTTTGTGCGTTTCTTTGTATAAATTCGGATAAGATTTTGCTGAAAACATATCTTAAAGGAGAATCTAGAGGTAAGCATGGGGGAAATGATCAAGCAGAAAAAGGGGGACCAAAACTTAGGAACGCAAATCGTGTGACCTAATAGAAAAGACAAAAGTGTTTTGTACTAAATGCCCTTAGGCAATCTTAGTTAGGCCTTTCTCTTTCCATGTTTCCATCCAACTCACAAATATATATATACGCGCACACACACTTATTAGCCCCGTATCTCAATTCTCGTGGCACAGGAGAAACCATGATGGATACAAGGAAAGCTCGAGCCGCCGTCGTTCCTCTTATATGGATGGTGATGAGTCTTCTAGTTAACGGGAAAAATATCGCTCCGACGGGTTTTCATGATCGGCAAATGCGGGAAATGGAATCCCTAAGAGCCTCCTTGATCCAACGCAATCTTCCCGCCCTGGTTTCTCCTCCTCCCACTCCTCCTCAGGTATGGTTCTCAACTTTCTAGCTTAACCCTTTTGCATATTCTTGGAAAACGTTGCTTAATCAATTGATTTCCGACATATAATATTAGGGTTTAGACATGGTTTTTTGTACAGCCGTACATACTATGATAAAAATGCACATTAATTCAAAAGTGTGATCTAACCATGTAGTGATCTTTTTCGTAGGCGATATCAAGTCCAATAGTGTACCGTGTGACGTCGTACGGCGCAGACCCAACGGGGAAATCGGATAGCACAGATGCGATCTTAAAAGCGATGGAAGACGCATTCAATGGTCCGAACCATGGACTGTTAATGGAGGGTATCAACAATCTTGGTAATGCAAAGATTGATCTTGAAGGTGGAAGCTATTTGATTAGCCGTCCTCTTCGGTTCCCCACCTCCGGCGCCGGAAATCTCATGGTACGTTACTTGTTTTCACCATCTTTGTCATTTTATACCGTTTCCCGATTTTATAACTTCTTCATATATATATACATACACACACGTTTTTATAATCAAGAAACGTGTTTTCAACGTAAACCCGATCATGTTTCTTGGTTTGGTGGAGTAAAAGAAACTAAAGATTTGGGAAATAGGGTTCATGAGAAAAGAATGATTCCTTTCCTTTTCTGCATGCATTAACTAGCCTCTCTTATTATTATTATTATTATTATTATTACAAACCACCTTCTGAACTTTTGAACTGCCCATGTAGAACGTTTCTTGTGCCTCCATTTGCAATGCATAGCTTTTTCTGAATCTTAATTAGACGAAGAGTCCCCGTCTGGTTTGCATATAATAATTTAACATATGATTTTACACAATGTTGTAGAATATATTTTGAAATTATCATATTTGAATTTAATTACCAAAAGTTTTAAAAACCTTCGTTTCACCAACCTAACATCGCATTGGTGAAGAATTTTTTTTTAGGAAAACCCCTAAAAGATTTCGTCTTTTGCATTTGTAACCCGTATTGTTTCTGTCAAAATTTGAAATTCGAATCTTTAAAAATGGTCTGCATTTGGTACACCGTGCTATTAATTGCACCATTCATGCAAGTTCATAGTTTTTCTCAATACATTTTTTTTTTAAAAAAAAGATTTTTTTAGTTGTTTTTCTTTAACTTGATAATCGGCTTCTCGAGGGGAAAAAAGAAAAGAAAATCTAAATACAGTTTCTTTTGACCTGTATGACACGTCAGATCGCCGGAGGAACCCTTCGAGCTTCGGAAGATTTCCCGGCGGACGGATACTTGATCGATCTCTCCGACAAATCATCGAAACGTCAATACATATTCGAATTCATAACCCTAAAAGACATGCTCTTGGACTGCAACTACCGCGGCGGAGGAATCGCCGTCGTGAATTCTCTCCGGACAAGCATCGACAACTGTTACGTCACCCACTTCGGCGACACCAACGGAATCTTTGTCCAAAAAGGACACGAAACGTACATCCGTAACTCCTTCCTCGGCCAACACGTCACTGCCGGCGGCGACAAGGGCGAGAGAAACTTCTCAGGCGTCGCAATCAATCTCATGGGTAACGACAACTCCGTCACGGACACCGTTATATTCTCGGCGAGGATAGGGATAATGTTATCCGGACAGGCAAACATCCTCTCCGGTGTCCACTGTTATAACAAAGCCACCGGTTTTGGTGGAACCGGGGTTTACTTGAAATTACCCGGTTTAACCCAGACCCGGATTGTGAATTCGTACATGGATTATACCGGTATTGTCGCGGAGGACCCGGTTCAGCTTCAGATTTCGGGGACATTTTTCCTCGGCGATGCGTTTATACTGTTGAAGTCGATAAACGGCGTCGTTCGAGGGGTTAACATTGTGGATAACATGTTTTCCGGGTCGGGTAATGGGGTCCAGATTGTGCAATTGGATCAGACCAAGAAGGCGTTTGAGAGCGTTGACCAGGTGGTCGTTGACCGGAACAGTGTGAACGGCATGGCGATGAAATCGACGGCTGCGAAGGCATCGGTGGATGGGAACGGGACGTTTTGGACCGTTGATTTCAACCCGGTTCTGCTGTTCCCCAACCTAATCAAGCACGTGCAGTATTCGGTGGTGGCGCGTGATCCACACGCTTTCCCGGTACACGCGCTGAGGAACGTGTCGGAGAATCGTGTGGTGGTCCAGACGAAATCTCCGGTGACTGCGAGTGTTTATGTGACGGTCGATCAAGGAGTCTCTAGCTTTGGTAATTAAATTTTACTTTTTGTTTTTAAATATGGTAACGGTCAAATCTTCTTTCATGTATTTTGTAATTTCCAATAACGGGGAAATTATTTTTACGGTGGGGGAGAAAACAACTCGGAGACCAAGTGAAGAGTTGGTGTCAGACATTGACTATCGTGTCGGGGAAAAAGGTTTACATATAAATATGTAATTTTTAGCACTGTCAAGATTTTGAATAAATTGAGATTTTATTTAGTTCGGTAAACTATTATATATGTATTTTTTTAATGAAAATATGTATTTTTTATTTATTTATGTACCATTTAATTAAAATACGCCAACAATTAATTACGTGCCGTTCATGTGCATGGATTATTGTTAGGGATGAAACGTGACCAGCCAATCTCGATTCCAAGAATCAATAAAGCAAAGCAAATTATATTTTAATCACTGTAAAGTCAGAAATAAAAGGAGGAAGAGATCTCTAAAGGAGGATTTGGACATTACGTTTCCATCTTTCCCCATAAATTAAATTAAACATTGTACTCCACACAAAAAAAATATTTATGATGGTATTTAGTTTTTTTTTTTTGGTAAAGATAGATGGTATTTAGTTGGGTTAAAAGAACGATGAATTTGTAGATTATATAAAAAACAATATCCGTGATCCATTCATTAGCGTGTGTTCTTGGAGTTCTTTCCCT